ATATTTTGAACCTGTATTTGACCCAGTCTTTACTGAACATTTGACAGGATATAAATTGGTGACAGTTAGAAGAAGCAGCAACTATACAGTACATTTATCAGTACAGCTTACACTGCAGACAGTCATTTGCGCATCTAGACACTCTCCTCCTCCATCTCTTGTCCTGGACTATTTTGAGAGTTCCTCTTCAGTTCCTTGCCAGTTGATCTGTGTTGTCTTCTTAAGAGCCTCTGCAAAACATTTTTTTTTTTTTTTTTTTTTTTAGGGATTTTGATTTTAGAAAAATCATGTTACTTACACGTCACAATACCTTATGACAGAATAACAATTTCTACTCAGGATAAAAAAAAAAACAGCAAAAAAATTATATAGGAATGGTGACGGTTTTGAATGTCACTGGAAGGGCATTTAGGAAATCAATAAAAAACAGTTTATAAAGTATGCATAATAAGTATAATGATTTATGATTACTTTTAAAGTAAAATTAGGAATGCTCCGATCAATCGGCCAGATATTAGGGTTAGGTTAACTAAGTAAGTAAGTAAAAGTTTATTTATATAGCACCTTTCACAGGTACAAGGCAACAAAGTGCCTTACAAAAAAAACATTAATATCATAAAATACACACAATAAAAGCATAGACAGTACATGACCATATCATGTAACACAGGTACCTAATTAAAAGCCTGAACAAATAAATAAGACTTTAGTCTGCATTTGAAGGCATCAACAGAGTCAAAAGAGCGCATATACAGTGGGAGGGGGTTATTAAACGCCTTCTGAAGCAAAGCCATGAGTTTGTGTAAGAAAAATATTCGGTAACGCTTTAGATTACAGCCCGGAATGTACTATGTAATTAAGAGGAATTTACAGTGTAACTTTCTGCAATTATAGTGTACCTATAAAGGACTTGCATGTAAGTATATGGGTAAAGTTTTGGGAATAATGGGGTAACAACCAGGAGAATTAAAAATATATATTAATACTGTAAGTATTATAGAAATAAGGGTTACTTATTCTACTATTATGATACAACAGTCTTACATTTGGGAGCAATTTAGCGAGTACATACACTGCAAACCTTTTTGTAAAAATTGTGTATCAATACTGTATAGGCTTTTTTTAAAGGACAGGGTACATATATAGGCATTTATACAATTCTTTAATATTTTTAAAAAAAATTATAGCAAAAGTGCAGATGTTTAAGTTTTGGCTAACATGTTTCAAGGCAAGAAAAGCTAAGACTATTGCAATTTTTTTTAAATACTGGGACATATATTTTGTTTGATGTGGTTACAGGGTAAGTGGTGCTTGTATAATAAATAAAGGTTTCCAAGTCAGTGATATAAAACTGTGTATGTATTTTTATTGTACTTACCCTGTAACTACATGGAACAAGGGGGTAACAAGCACCACCACATGAAACAAGTGTATCTTTCCCCAATATTTAAGCAAAAGTTGCAATAGTTTTTGTTTCAGTGCACTTATGTAAAAAAGATGACTTTATAAATGCATATGTACCCTGTAATTTTTTTTAAAAGCCTGTAATTTTAGAGTAGGTATTGGTTCACCTTTATTTCAAAAAGGTACGCAGTGTACAATTTTCTGGTGAAATTGCTCCCAAATGTAAGATTGTTATCACAATAGTAGGATAAACACCCTTTAGTCCTTTAATACTTACAGTATAAATAATTGTTTAATTCTCCTGGTTGTTACCTCCTTATTCCCCAAACTTAATATATTGTTCCTTTATACTTATATTGTAAGTATGTTATAGGTACACTATAATTACCAAAGGTTACGCTGTTAAATCGCTTTAATTACGCAGTACTTTCCAGGCTGTAATCTAAAGCATTATCAAATATTCATATTTAAAACTTTATTAAATAAAATAACCAGCTTCCGGCCAAGCGAACATACAGATTGCACTTAAGTGTAAAGTGCAACTTATGTGGTTTTAAGTTGATATTTACTCTACACCATTATGCACTACGCTACTTCTGACGTCACAAATTGACCTATGGCTAAGCCATTCAGTCAAACACGATGAGCAGTGCGCACCTAACCTAATACACTCGGACATTCTCTGCTTCCACGTCCATTGAAATGCATTGCAGTTAGTCAGTTTTCATTAGGTTTTTTTGTCATTTTAAGTTTAAAATGGTCAAACGGTGTGCATGGGGTACATACAACTCCGACACTAGGTTCCCGAGAGACTGGGCGACGGTGTGTATTTCTTTACCCTTTCCCAAGCCACTTCTCAACAGAGATAAGTGTCTGCTCTGGATTAAGTTATGCGATTAAGTCATGCGCCGCGGTAGACCACAACAACAACTAAAGTTAGCCTTCTAGTTGCTTTGTACATCATGTCACTTAGCTTAATTAACGTATCTGTAAATAACCGAGATAACAAATGTTAACAATGTTGTGCTGAATGATTCATGTAAATACTGTAGCACCAAACGGTGATGGCAACGATATGCGGTATATCACGTTTACATTGTGACCTGTAAATTACATTTTTGCCTGGAGCTGAAGCTTTTCATCGACCTTCTCAACAATAAAATTATTAATATAACCCTCCAATGCATAGTTAAGGCCCTTAAGGTGACTTTGAGATGATATATAATATTTCTGTCTCCAAAAATCACCAATTGCCTCCTGTAAAATGTCTGCCATAGCGCCTGTCCCCGAATGTTGACTGTTTGTCCAAGTGAGTGGAGGGGGCGTGGCTTAGCCACAGGTCAATTGCATAAGTTTGCAAGTAGGCTGCTTATGGCCATTTAGTTGGAAGCTAGTTGTTTTACTTTAAAAAGTTTGAATATGGATATTTTTCAAACAAAATTTTTGCTTCAGAAGGCCTTTATTAACCCCCTGGAGCCGTGTGGAGTTTATGATGGATGGATGCGCTTTTTTGAGCTTTTTTAAACTAATAGTTGCAATCCACTGCCATTACGAAACTTGGAAGCGTCAGGGTGTTTATTAATAAAATTCTGATTGTATTTGTCTGAAAGAAGAACGTGGGCTAATATACACCAAAGGATGGCTTGAGGGTGAGTAAATCATGGGCTAAATACTCTAATTAAATTATGTAAAATCTAATTTTGAAAAATTTATTAAATTAAGTACAATCAAAACACCTCAAAAGGTTAATAAATCCATACCGGAAGTGGCAGTACAATGTAGTAGATAAAGAGCAATCCTCCACCAAATTGCCAGTACTCATCTGGATCCTTGGTCAATCTGGGATGGGGTGGGGTGATGCGTCCTTAACAATATTAAAACAAAACGTATCAATATCGTACCAACATTTGCCATTATAAAACATTCAGAGAACATGAAAAATAGCCCAATAGCTCCCGGTCTCCACTGTGTGTGTTTAATACTCACTGCTGTGTGTGTGTGTGTGTGTGTGTGCACTTGAATGGATGAAATGAAGAGCACAAATTCCGAGTTTGGGGACACATGTCACATCACATCAATTGAAGCTTTAAAAAAAGAAATTGCTACTCCAAAATCAAACAAACCATCAAACAATTTTACCTGTAGCCACATTTATCCTGTTATGACACGTCTGAGGGTCTTTCCCTTGATGTTCTTCCGTGAACTAAATAAAGGGCTCATGATGGTGACATGTTCTCCTTTCTTTGTCACTTTAGAGGAAGAAAGACATAAAGATAATTAGTTACTCAGATTTGTCACTGGTAGAGGATATGACTTTTGATGATGAGTATAATACTTTTGACAACATAATATATTAATCCCAATGTAAGGTTTAGAAGCAATGGTTAAAACTGACTTACATAATGAAGTTGATAATCATGCCGTGGTGGATTTGTCTCTGTTGGGTGCCTGCTCTCCCCCCAAAAATCTTCTTCCAGTGCTTGATATATAAAAATAATAAAAAAATAAACAAATCTCTTATCATTAGCAGTTATCAGTTTTTTAAGAGGTGATGTCAAAATATTTAGAAACGGGCATCTACTAAAATATAAGAGATTTAACGTTAGACCAATAACATTTCTCAACTCTTCTGTAGATTCCAGTGTTTCAGAGAGTAAATGACCGTTTTATCAGTCAAATCATATTTATATAGCGCTTTTCACAATATATCAGTCACTTTACTCATTTGGATTCTACTTCCCTAGTAAATAAATAAATAACTTCTACCAGAATATATTAGAACACATTTCATACTAATTATACTTCAATTTCATTAACATAATTGACACATCACCTAAAAAGACTTTATTACACAATGAACATATATATATATATATATATATATATATTACGACAAAAAATAAAGTAATAACGTTACCACTATTAAGTGTACCAAAAGTATATTTGCAATAGTTCCACTTTAGCACAATCAAATACACTTACTCAGAAGCACTAACGTTGCTTTCAGATAAATATGGTTAGCTACCCGTTATGTTAACGTTACAAACACAACTGCAGGTAACTTAGTAGCCTACGTCCGTTATCCGTTTATAAAACTCTCGTATGTAACGTTAACGTTAAGTTACACAGAACATTTCTGGGTAGTTAATGAACTCCATTCACATACGTTTTGTTTATCTGCATATTCAACCATGAACTATAACACTCTCATCCACTTATTTGAATGTAATACCTAAACGTTTATATTAGTGGATCTCAGTTTTTCTAAAATGATAGTGGAGACAGAAAAATGTTCTCTTACCTGATCGCCAATATTGCAGGATCTCACGCATCCAGTCTGAGCGTCTTCTGTGTGTTCACATCTTCTGTTCTCCTTCGTTTTACATGTCACATCGCAAATTATTTCAAAATAATAATTGAAAGACCGAGTAATCTTGCTGAGCAGCCGTCGTCATCAACTCAAATGTATTTGATTTTTCAAACTTGACCAGTAAAAAGGCGCGCACAGTTGTCATTGGCCAGTTACATAGATGACAGTCAGATTAACCAATCATGATCAAAGAAGGTGAAACAACCGAAGTTACGACGTCACTCGAGGCCAAAACGCAGAAGTGAATTTGCATTTTAGCATTACAGTTCCCTCGCTCTAAAGCCTATGGGTTTTTTGAATGGGTTTTTGCTAAATCTCCTGAAATAAGGTCTCTGGTGAACAGAGCCTCTAAATATTTTCACGTTTTGATCTATGACATAGAACACACAATTATAACCTGCGTGTGTTTTTTTTTTTTTGAACTTTATTGTGTCTGATTGTGTTTTTTAAAATCTTTATATATGCTTCAAAATGTATATAAATTTTGGATTAACTTGTAAAGATTATCTTGCTAGACAGAACGTGTAAGGGTCACAACCCTCTGTTAAACACAGATCTTATTTTTTGCGATTTTCCAAAAGTCTATGGGGAAAATGCATTGCTTTTTTACCGAGGGAACCCATGCGCCGCTAGCTTCCGGGTTGTCCTACAAAGTGACGTCATCACTTCGGCACTCTATTGTTTCAGTGGTAATGATTAAAAAAAAAAAAAAAAAATGATTTTTTTTTTTTTTTAAGAAATCCGTGTTTAATTTAATTTGTAGGCTATATTATTTGATTACTGTTTTTATGAAAGTGTGTGAATAAAAATGTAATCCTGCAAGCTAAACTTTAGGCACACACACAAAATTGTAAACCCCAAACAAAATCGCACAAAGCAAAAAAAGTTTATTCTGCACTTGTTGAGATTGAAATTATATCCATTATTTTTATTATTGTTAATAATATACTGATTCTATTTCAACACAAATTTATATTTTTGAAGTGGTGTTTTGATCAAAATATCATAAAATGCTACAATAATAATTAGAAATTAATAATTAGAAATAATAATAATTTAAATGTTATGGATTTCTTGAAGACATGACATTGATTCAACAAACAGATAAAAAAATTCAACTGTTTAGCATTAAAATGTTACATTGTGTACATTGTGTGCATTCTGTACTCGCTGCAAATGTGATTTTTGAATTTAGTTTTGATTTTCCCTTCAAACACTGCATGTTGCATTCTAACTTTTTTTACTTGGGCTATTTCATCATCTGGACTGAGTCTCTTTCAATAATCAAAACCCTAACCCTAACCCCAATATTTAAAATCTCTAGAATTACATTGTCACTAACTGACTGACCAGAAAACTCTTGAGTATTTCCATTGAATAAGGGCATTTGGCTGATGCTAGGGGTTTGATTTATTCTAGCCATCTCAAGTCATTAGAATATTTTGATAGATAAGTAGCTTCTGTAACCCGTTCTTCATATTGTACAGTGACCATTTTCGGGATATTTTGAACCATTTGTATAACTATATTGAGATAAGCATATTGCAGTAACTCAGAAGTTTGCAGTAACAAAATTAAACCACTAAAAGTTGACACTTTGAATATTTAGTGTCAATGATTAGGGTTGGAACTAATATCTGCTGAACGCCAACACTCCAGGACTGGATTTGAAGAGCCGTGGCCTATACTGTATCCACATACCAATACTATTGCAACAGTATTGGGACACCCATCCAAGTTATTGAATGGGGGTGTTTCAATCACTTCCATGGCCACAGTTGTATAAAATCAAGCACCTAGGTATGCAGGTGCTTCTACAAACATGTGTAAAAACATAGGTTGCTTTCAGGAGCTCAGTGAATTCAAGCGTGGTACCATGATAGGTTTCCACCTGTGGAATAAGTCCATTTGTGAAATTTCCTCACTACTAAATATGGTCAACTGTTAGTGGTATTTTAACAAGGATTATACTGTAAATCATAAATATACTGTATATAAATGTTTTAATGATTGCACAGATATGTTTTTTTTACAAGTGTATAGTTTATGAAGTCATTTACAGATGCACAATTTATATTTATTCCATAGTTCATTATATTCACAATTATACTTGTATATATTTCCGCATTAAGGATCCATATAGAGATTACTTATGTGGAAACTACTTTGGGCCCATGTAGGCAGCCTTTATGGGAATGTTTGTGTTTGCCCATGTCTGACCCATGCGGTTTATCAAAATGGGCCCCATATATTTTTCACATTCAGAACCCATATAGAGATTACTTATGTGGAAACTACTTTGGGCCCATGTAGGCAGCCTAAATGGGACTGTTTGTGTTTGCCCATATCTGACCCATGCGGTTTATCAAAGTGGGCCCCATATGTTTTTCCCATTCAGAACCCAAATAGAGATTACCTATGAGGGAACTACCTTGGGCCCATGTAGGCAGCCTAAATGGGACTGTTTGTGTTTGCCCATGTCTGACCCATGCGGTTTATCAAAATGGGCCCCATATATTTTTCACATTCAGAACCCATATAGAGATTACTTATGAGGGAACTACCTTGTGGGCCCATGTAGGCAGCCTATATGGGACTGCTTGTGTTTGCCCATATCTGACCCATGCGGTTTATCAAAATGGGCCCCATATATTTTTTACATTCAGAACCCATATAGAGATTACTTATGAGGGAACTACCTTGAGCCCATGTAGGCAGCCTATATGGGACTGTTTGTGTCTGCCCATGTCTGACCCATGCGGTTTATCAAAATGGGCCCCATATATTTTTACATTCAGAACCCATATAGAGATTACTTATGAGGGAACTACCTTTGGGCCCATGTAGGCAGCCTATATGGGACTGCTTGTGTTTGCCCATATCTGACCCATGCGGTTTATCAAAATGGGCCCCATATATTTTTTACATTCAGAACCCATATAGAGATTACTTATGAGGGAACTACCTTGAGCCCATGTAGGCAGCCTATATGGGACTGTTTGTGTTTGCCCATATCTGACCCATGCGGTTTATCAAAATGGGCCCCATATATTTTTCACATTCAGAACCCATATAGAGATTACTTATGAGGGAACTACTTGGGCCCATGTAGGCAGCCTATATGGGACTGCTTGTGTTTGCCCATATCTGACCCATGCGGTTTATCAAAATGGGCCCCATATATTTTTTACATTCAGAACCCATATAGAGATTACTTATGAGGGAACTACCTTGAGCCCATGTAGGCAGCCTATATGGGACTGCTTGTGTTTGCCCATATCTGACCCATGCGGTTTATCAAAATGGGCCCCATATATTTTTCACATTCAGAACCCATATAGAGATTACTTATGAGGGAACTACCTTGGGCCCATGTAGGCAGCCTATATGGGACTGTTTGTGTTTGCCCATGTCTGACCCATGCGGTTTATCAAAGTGGGCCCCATATTTTTTCCCATTCAGAACCCATATAGAGATTACTTATGAGGGAACTACCTTGGGCCCATGTAGGCAGCCTATATGGGACTGTTTGTGTTTGCCCATATCTGACCCATGCGGTTTATCAAAATGGGCCCCATATATTTTTCACATTCAGAACCCATATAGAGATTACCTATGAGGGAACTACCTTGGGCCCATGTAGGCAGCCTATATGGGACTGCTTGTGTTTGCCCATATCTGACCCATGCGGTTTATCAAAATGGGCCCCATATATTTTTCACATTCAGAACCCATATAGAGATTACTTATGAGGGAACTACCTTGGGCCCATGTAGGCAGCCTATATGGGACTGTTTGTGTTTGCCCATGTCTGACCCATGCGGTTTATCAAAATGGGCCCCATATATTTTTCACATTCAGAACCCATATAGAGATTACTTATGAGGGAACTACTTTGGGCCCATGTAGGCAGCCTATATGGGACTGCTTGTGTTTGCCCATATCTGACCCATGCGGTTTATCAAAATGGGCCCCATATATTTTTCACATTCAGAACCCATATAGAGATTACTTATGAGGGAACTACCTTGGGCCCATGTAGGCAGCCTATATGGGACTGTTTGTGTTTGCCCATGTCTGACCCATGCAGTTTATCAAAGTGGGCCCCACATGTTTTTCCCATTCAGAACCCATATAGAGATTACTTATGAGGGAACTACCTTGGGCCCATGTAGGCAGCCTATATGGGACTGTTTGTGTTTGCCCATATCTGACCCATGCGATTTATCAAAATGGGCCCCATATATTTTTCACATTCAGAACCCATATAGAGATTACCTATGAGGGAACTACCTTGGGCCCATGTAGGCAGCCTATATGGGACTGCTTGTGTTTGCCCATATCTGACCCATGCGGTTTATCAAAATGGGCCCCATATATTTTTTACATTCAGAACCCATATAGAGATTACCTATGAGGGAACTACCTTGGGCCCATGTAGGCAGCCTATATGGGACTGCTTGTGTTTGCCCATATCTGACCCATGCGGTTTATCAAAATGGGCCCCATATATTTTTCACATTCAGAACCCATATAGAGATTACTTATGAGGGAACTACTTTGGGCCCATGTAGGCAGCCTATATGGGACTGCTTGTGTTTGCCCATATCTGACCCATGCGGTTTATCAAAATGGGCCCCATATATTTTTCACATTCAGAACCCATATAGAGATTACTTATGAGGGAACTACCTTGGGCCCATGTAGGCAGCCTATATGGGACTGTTTGTGTTTGCCCATGTCTGACCCATGCAGTTTATCAAAGTGGGCCCCACATGTTTTTCCCATTCAGAACCCATATAGAGATTACTTATGAGGGAACTACCTTGGGCCCATGTAGGCAGCCTATATGGGACTGTTTGTGTTTGCCCATATCTGACCCATGCGATTTATCAAAATGGGCCCCATATATTTTTCACATTCAGAACCCATATAGAGATTACCTATGAGGGAACTACCTTGGGCCCATGTAGGCAGCCTATATGGGACTGCTTGTGTTTGCCCATATCTG